CCTACAGGTGAAACACTTTAGTGCACCGCTCAGTTTAGAGATTTGGGGTTTTGATAGTTTTCCTTTAAAAAAAGAGGAAAAGCCGTCGAAGGATTTTCTGTTTGTGAGAGCTCAGCAGCTTCGTGATGATATCCGTACGCAGGGTCAGGGTTACGCTCTTCCAGGAGATTTTATGTTCCAATAAAAGCATCTGAAGTCTTACAGCCGCCTCTTTGAAGGCTGATTTCTTAAAATGTTTATTTGTCACACAGTGGAAATTTGTGTGTTTATGTTTTATCGATCAATTGGTACATAGTGTTGATTTTATTGATATTTATATCGCACGTTTGTTTATTCATATTTATATTGCATGGTTTTATCCTCATATTTATGTTATGTGTGTTAATGTTCCTTTAATCCACTGTGGACTAAACAGACAATTGGAGGCACCTGTGAGGTGGGGGCTATTTTAACTTGTATTTGTGATTCTGGCTGTTTTTTTATGGAAATAAATGGTGTGTTCAAAGCCAGCTTAGCTTCTGTGCCCTGACCCGCTCACTCCCCTTCCTTTTGTATGTGAACGGACCTGGAGGTGCAGATTTAGGTCCACCAGTCGTAGCGGCTGCATATTCTCAGAGAGCCGCTGAGGACTCGATTATCCTCTGTTTGTTTCAGTATTTGGATCAATTATCACCTTGCTGTTCTAAATCGTTTGAAACGTAGTTGTTCGGTCGTGTAAACAAACTGTGAGGGTAAGTGAGCCTGTTCGACTCTCTCATGTATGCTGTCCTGTGCTGAGTTACGTGGTCACTCTGTTATTGACGACTCATCACCTTAAAGCTGTCGTGTAGGACAGACGCTGCTGTCAGGTTTGTTTCTGACGTAGAATAAAAATCAGGTTTTCCTGCTGTGATGCTCTCAGCCTGCACCGTGTGTTACGGCCCTGTTGACCGAGGCCCACTGGGCCGTGTTTGGTGGGGGTCTCCAAGTGGTTTCCATGGCTGTGTAAACAGAGACGGCGCAAGGAAAGGTCGCCTCGTCCTGAGAGTTTCCTCGCCACAATAGAAGTTTAATGTCCCCGACTTCAGACTGACAGGCTGATATTAAAACTGCTGCAGGGGAACCAGGAGCAGCGTCGGGGTGAAGGTATGCAAACAGCATTTGTCTGCAGGTTCAGCTCTCACGATCCCGCTCCTGCGCCATCTTCCTGCCTCTGCAGAGCTTTCAGGCCAAACAGGAAGTGGAAGGACCAGGAATAGGAAGCTGAGCGTGCCTTTAACACAGCTTTGCATTTGTCTAAATCAACAATTTCCCCCGGCCTCCTCAGGCTGAGCTAAGTGGAGATCAGAGGAGGAGAAGCTGTTTGAAAGAATCTTTCAGATTCATGCTCTGAGGCAGCGAAGCGCCCTTTTTAGACGACTGCTGGGACGCTCTCGAATCAACAGAACGTCAATCTGGTTTGAACTCGTGACAAAGAACCGAGGAACCTTCAAACTGTGAAAGGTGGACTCAGGAGAGGGATCGTTTTCTGACCTCTAATTGGCTGAGGACGCCAACACGTTGGACCTCCTTTACCTGTCCACTGAAGGACTTGTAAACTGGAGCCAGTCAGACTTAATTCCAACTTAGGACCAGGATGAGGACGGTGTCAAAGGTCAACTGTCTCACCTGATCTGTGCGGCTCTGGTTGGACAGGCAAACAGTAAAAGTGTCGGTCAGGGAACTGTCTCTCTGTCTGTTCACAGGCTTCACGTTTAGGTGCAGCCAGCATTTACGGGGAGACCCACCACGACTCCTGCTCCACCTGCTCCCGGTCCCGGGGGAGCTGCCAGCCATGCGCCCTGAACCCTCTGCTCCACCCTCCCCTGCAGTCCCGAACCATCACACTTTGTCTCCAACATTATAGTAACGGCTCTGCTCCGTATCAGCCGACTGGTTTATTCTGCTCTGAGCTGAAACTGAACAGAGATAAAACTCTGCTTTGTTTAAGTTCTCTGGGGTCAGAGGTCACAGTTGCACTTTGCTAGTTTATACTTTAGTGGTTCTGCTCTGCTTGTTCTCTGATGTCATCTGATGCTTTTGGACCAAACCGTCCAGCTCGCCATCACTGGTAGCTCCGCCCTCCGCCCTGCTCTAACAGAACAAACTTCCTGTTTCATTCAGTAAGACCCGAAACAGCACGTGAGACGCTCCGGTTACACAGCACACACACAACACAGGACACTGGGGAGCTTTTCCCAGGAACGTGACACACATCCAGGCGTGACATCAAACTGCACAGCCAATCAGGAAAGCGGTTTGCGTTCTGCCGTTTTTGTGGCGAACTGAGCTTCCTGCGATTGGCGATGTTGAATACGATCATCTGTCACACAAACAGACAGAAACAGAGAAAACTGTGCTGACCTGGATCCAAGAACCTGAAACAGTTTTAGTCTCAGAGCTGCTGTGATGCATGAAACGTCCCATCAACATCATCAATAAGCACAGAGGTCAAGACTGATCGATGGAATCAATAATCATAGCTTTAGACCTGAGGCAGGTTCTGTCCGATGCAGGCGCGACACAGGCGGTGGATGGTGTGCATGGCAGCAGTTCCTGTGGATCCACCAAGTGGTCCTCAGCAGAACCAAACCAGGATGAAGTCCAGCGTGGCGATCGAGGTAAAGCCGTGTGAGCGCGCAGCCGAGGCTCAGAGGTGACCTGGACGTGTGTGTGTGGGAACCAGCACACAGAATAATAGCAGGAAACTCACACACAAAAACAGTGGATGTGTCCCTGTGATAACACGCACACACTTCCTGAGCACACACTCGGGCTGACGTGTGTTTGTGAGGCTTTGACTCATTAATGTTTTCCCAGGCTCCTGAATCTGAATGCGAGTCTGCCTGAAACATCTGTAAACATCTGTAAACACCAGCAAACGTGTACAAACACCCACAAACACCTGAGAGCTGGAGCTCTGGTTGCTCTGCACAGGAACAGAGGACACACTGTGCTGGACCTCATGTTTCTGAGGGTCAGCAGCTTGTGACCGTTACAGAAGCAGCTTCACTCCATAATTCAACACACGTGAATGTTTGATGAGCCTCTCAGACGAACAGTAAACACTGCGAGCCGTCATCAAACAGGAATAACCTCTCTCCATCAGCATTATTCATCCTCTCTGAGCAGGACACGCTCCACCAGCAGCTGGTTACACTGTAAGTAACACTCCACCCACTGGTTAGTGACGTCACATCTGAAGACCCAACATGTCGGACTTCTTTCAGGAAGTGACCATATTTGGACGAGAGGGCAGAGGCTTTGTTATCAGCTAATCCTAACTGTGGAGAGCATCTTACTGTTAATTAGTATCGACATCCTTGAATTTCACTCACCAAGACTGAAGCTCCGCCTTCTTGGGGCGCTCTGTTAGTACAGTGACAGCAGCCATGTTATTGGTCACATGATGTCATTAAAAAGCTCCAAAAGGCTCCAACAGCACAAACACGGTCTAGAGGTGGAGGTCAGGTGGAGCTAGCAGACAGCTAGCAGCTACAGCCGCCTGTGTCACCATCCAGCTGTCAGTTGAAGAGGCCACGCCCCTAATAATGCAAACTTTGAACACCTTCTCCAGCCGTACAGGTGCAATGAAGGAGGAGGTTACCGATGGAGACCAGTTTCTGTATCACACCAGTGTACTGGGACCAGACCGGCAGTAATGCATTACAACTAACACGTTACTGTAATCCAATTACTTTTTAAAGGAACAAGTAAAGGGATTATCATTGCAAAAAAGTAATTAGATTACTGTTACTTTCCTGTAAGCACGCTGCGTTACTAAACCGTGATGTTGTTTGTGAGTGTCTCATGACGACATCCGAGCGTGCGGCGTCCGCGGTAGCAGGCGTGTGCAGATCAAGAATGGACAACACGGAGGGATGGAGAGAGTACAACCTGCAGCGTTTAAAGCTTGGAAGTAATCACATTACTTCGAGTTTCATTCTGTAAAAAGTGACACAAACATTAGCGTCCGCTGTTCCCTCGGCGTGGGAAGAAAAGCGGAAAATGAAACTTCAATGTTCAACACGTTTCTGAGTTACAGAGTTTGTTTCTGCTCGTTAAAGTTAAAAAACTAACAAAAGTTTTTCATTTGTTTTATTTGATGATTATGGAGAAAAGTAGAATTGGGCTGAAAGGTCTGCTGCTTTATTACGTATTCAGGTTGTGTATCATGTTTTTGAAAAGTAACTATGTAACTAAGTAACTAATTACTTTTGAAAATAAGTAACTAATTAGTTACTAATTACTTTTCTCAGGTAACTTGACCAACACTGATTGGGACTCAGTCAGTGCTGCTTCTGCTGGACGGTAGAGGAACTGCAGCCTTCTGTCGATCAGCTAAACTAAAGTTACAGTTACAGTAAAGTTACAGTTACTCTCTGGTGACCAACTTCTTTGTTGTCTGTTGCGTTGCGTTCAGGAACAGAAGGAGATATGGTCGCTGTGAACATCGCACCTCCTCCTGGCGCATGCTTAGCGGCGTGTGTGCGTGCACGCTGACTCACCTCCATCTGCTGCACAGCGCTGCCGTCTCGGCCAG